TATAAGAATTATAAATACATGGTCAATTATCAGTACTTTATTTTTAGCATTGTTGCAGGTGAGGTTTGATAAAACACCAGCAGCACATGTCAAATAATGAACATCATTTGAAGACAAGAAACTAACAAGCTGCAGCAAGAGCTCTTCCAAATTATCCTAAAATCAGAGGACACATACTGTACATGTGGACCAGTTCTATCCTTTTCCTTACCTGCTTGGTAGCAGCATCAGAAAGATTCCTTAAAGTAAAGAGAATATTCTGTACTAGTCTATTGGAGCGATGTCCCAAATGGAGTGACAATACTTGCATACCACCAGCCTGTACTATCTCTGGTTTGTTGCTGGAACAAACTGAGAGTTCCTTCAATAGTCTACTGACTGTCCACAACAGTTTCTCGTTAATTCTATAAATCTTCAACAGTTGCAGCAATGCTCTAGGACCTCCAGATCGAGAGAATATAATCTATAGAAATGATATTAATAATCATAGATAATAATAAGGATTACCTTGCTCTCTTTGTCAGATGCAGTAATTAAACGTAATGCATCAGTTAGGACTATTATAAACTGATAATTACTGTGGACTAACTTGTTCACCATACACTCTACACCACCTATCAATAGACAGTCATTAGTGCTGATACAACTGTAGCTACCTGAAGCTCTTATTGATGCTATAGATGAGTCTCTGCCTTCAATCAGTACATTGTGTATTAAATTGATGGTATAATACAAGACTGGATTGATATCTGTTTTTAATAAATCAATAAGAACAGGAACACCATTGGAATCATAAATACCAGACAAACCACTAATAATAGCAATAATAATAATAACACATTAACAATGGCCGGCTTACTTTTCTTTACAAAAATAATACAATTCTTTTACTAGTTTCTGCAGTTCAATCTCATCCCTTGAGGACTTGATCCTCTCAAGCAATTGAACTAAATGTGACCCACTGAGCAATGAAGCACTGGATTGACACTGAGCCTCACCTGCAGGTAATTATACAAGACATACCCTTCTATCAGTGTCTCTAAATGAATAACATACTCTGTCCTATTGTATGATTAGGCACCAATGGATGGGAACTAGCAGCTGTAGCTGATTCACACCATTCTTCAAACGGCATTCGATCTATTACAAATAATATTAGTATTATTATCATAAAATTAATGTACTTTTAATTATTGAGTTCAAAGTAGGAGGAGATTGAGGAGGAGTAGTGAAGTTAGAAGTAGAAGCTGAATTATCAAAATAAAGGACGGACTGGGGGCGGGTTGAAGAAGCACTAGCAAAGCCAGAGTCTTAAAATAATTTAAAATAATAACAAAAAAATTATTACTAATACCATAATGACTTTGACGCCAATCGGAGAAAGTGCTTGATGGCGTATAGCCACAAGATGGCAGCTGCTTTTGTAACTAATAATTAATTATCATCATCAACACTGTCATTATTATTATACTTACTATCTCACGCAGTAGTGCTGTCTCAAAGTTTTCTACAATATGAAGGAATGAGTAGAATCATAACACACACACTACTAGGACTGAATCAGTCAAAACAAGCTCAGAACATCAATATCCATGTAATAATAATTTGAGGTGATTTCGGAGTCATTTTTTGAAAAAACCATGGGCTATAGCCAGTCCATTAACAGTGCATGGATAACAAATTAACACAACAAGTGAAGAGACCATCAATTTACACTATTGGATATTTGGCTATACATTTATTAATGTATATATGTACATAGTATCTATCGTATTATAGTACATACCCAATGACTGACGGGCTGACTCCATTCTTATAGTCTACTGATGATGACAATAGCTTTAAAGAGAGAGTTGATCATAATTTTAAAATTATAAGCACTAAAGGCTAACCTTAGGTTTAAAACACACCGGGCAACTACTGAGCCTTAGTTAAAAGGCAGTGGATGGGAAGAAATTTGATTCTAACGAAGTGAGTGAGAGAGAGAGAGATAGAAGCCAATGGAGCACAACTTTACACGTGGCCAAATTGTACCGCGCAAATCGGCGCCCAATGATGTCATAAATCACGTGACAATTTTTAACCCTTTGTTAAAAACAATAACTATTTATAACTATTCCAAATAAAAAAGAGGACAAGTTATAGCAAAAGAAAAAAGAACATGAACACACACAGCAAAAAGGAGAGAGAGGGAGGGAGAGAAAATACTTAACCATTCGATAATGAGTTTATACAACAAACAAGAAAAAGAGAGAGACAGAGGGAGAGAGAGAGAGAGACACTTTAAACATCACTTATTATCAACAAGAGAGAGAGAGAGAAGGGAAGAGGAGGTGTATGTGTGTCCATTAAAGATCAGTATCTATCCAACCAGTATTAGCAGTGTCCATCAGAGCAGGAGAAGGAGGATTATAATTGCCCCCCTGAGTCTGGACCCGGTAATAATTAGGACCCATTGACTGTTGGGGGGGCTGGTGATAAGGATGAGTGGGTGGAGCCTGTGGAGCTATGGGATGGTGCGGAATGGGAGGGGCGGGGTTTTGAGGGTACGATGAAGGTAGGTAATGATTGGGGGTGTGGACACCTGAATGAGAACCACCAGCTGGAGTGTGTATACCAGAGTGGTGGGCGGAGTGAGGGTGGGACCCACCCCCTGGAGTGTGTATCCCTGAATGGTGAGGGTGAGAGGGGGTGTGGTGCCCCGAGTGAGGGTGGGACCCTGGGGTATGTACCCCAGAGTGATGGTAACTACCAGCCCCGTGGGCATACTCGTCAAAATCAAGGGGTAGCTCAAATTCTGAATGAGGGGTCATTAGCCCCGAGGGGGGCTCCGACATGTTGGGAGTGAAAGGCTGTGACCCAGGGACACTGCCGGGATTAGAGTAATGACCCCTCAGCTGCTGCTGGTGGAGAGGAGGAGTTGAAGTGGAGTAGTAAGACTGAGGAGGGTTAGTATCAAGACCCTGACAGAGAGAGAGAGAGTTAGGTATTATTAATAATTAATGTACTGGTACCATGTAGTCCTGTCTGTAGGGCACACCTCCTCCGATATCAGCTGGTAGATGAGGTAGCTCCCCGTTACGATCATCACTCAAGCAAAATAAAACAGCAGCAGCATAAGCAGCTGTGAAAAGAATAATTATACATTTATACATGTATTAATATTGAAATTACCGATTCCTTCGTTAGGAGAGTGTAACAGTTCCCCTAATGGAGTAGGTGCTCCTTCCCTTTCAATCTGCTCAGCTCCCTCAGGGTCCAATGCTAACTCACTCAACCCACCAACAGCTGCTCTCTGTATTCCTTCATTCCTCATGTACAACAACTGAAAACAATAAACAACAACAATAAACAAAGCCATACTAGGAATTAAAGGAATTAAAGAAGAGTCAAAAGTCAATAAACTATGCCAAATTATAAGTACTAGTATGGCTTTGCTGATACAAGTTTAGGCATACATTTATCTACTGTCTTACTAATATTAATATTAATATTAATATTAATATTAATATTAATATTAATAATGATGATGGGCGTACCTGTACAAACATTGGTATCACGTTGAGTTGTCTCATTATTAATCTGTTGTAAGGATCCCTCGCTAATAAATGAAGAGCAGCTGTACTGCACTCAACAACCTCATTCATCGAAACACCATCCTACATAAATAATAATAATAATAATAATAATAATAATAATAATAATAATGATCATATCTTACCACAATTCCAAGTGCCATTCCAGGTTGGCCAGATCTCCTTTGTAATTCTTGGAATGATCTGTTCAGTAGCTGCCATAGTTTAGGGATGCAGCCCTGTTCCCTAAGGACCGTATGATTGTCTGAACAAAGAGATAAGTTCCTGAATAGTCCTATGAGTGCCTACAATTATATTATTATATAATGATTATTAATATTTATTAGTTTATTAGTAGTTACCTTAATCAGT